TTCAGGCTTTGTGACCTATCCGTGTCCAAGACGAATCCGCGTGTGAAGGGGAAAGATCTTTAGTGTTTGGTGTTCCGGGTGGTTTGAAGATATTTGAATCACTTGGAGCTATTGGACTCATGTATCAAACCCCTTAACCAGACGTCGCCTTCATTCACCCTTTACCTGCCGCTGGTTTACTAACAGAAGACTTTGAGTCTCTCCTCTCTTACCTTGAATCAGCAGAGTAAATTAACAATCATCTTCTCTATGGCTTTATACATCAGCTTTAGATTTCTCCTTCTTTATTCTGAAATATATGTGTTTGTTTTCTCAGTTCTCCACACGCGACTGTTCTAAAAACTGAAGCAATCTTTAATCGGCCATCTCCTGTTATTGCTTCCTTCTCTTCTCGCGGGCCAAACACCATCGCTGTTGATATTCTCAAGGTACTTATACAAAACAAATTTTGATATTGATTCTGCTTATAATATCTTTGGTCTAAGAGACAATGGTGGATGAATTGCAGCCAGATATAACAGCACCAGGAGTGGAGATTCTTGCTGCATATTCGCCTGATGGTGAACCGTCTCAACATGACACCAGACATGTGAAGTACTCTGTTCTCTCTGGAACTTCAATGTCTTGTCCGCACGTTGCAGGGGTGGCCGCGTATGTCAAAACGTTTTACCCTAAATGGTCTCCTTCCATGATTCAGTCTGCCATCATGACAACCGGTAGGCTAAAAACTATATCCAATACTTAGTTTCTTGCACCACAAGTAACCTTTGTTGTCACTCTGTTCTTATTTGGTTTCTTGACCAATCTTTTCAGCTTGGCCTGTAAATGCTACTAGAACTGGCATCGCATCGACCGAGTTTGCTTATGGAGCTGGACATGTCGACCCGATAGCCGCTTCAAACCCTGGACTTGTCTATGAATTAGACAAAGCAGACCACATCGCCTTTCTCTGCGGCATGAACTACACTTCGCATGTCCTGAAAGTCATCTCTGGTGAAACCGTCACTTGCTCCGAGGAAAAAGAAATCCTACCAAGAAACCTCAACTATCCTTCAATGTCGGCCAAATTGTCAGGATCTGGTACCACCTTCACTGTAACTTTCAACAGAACCTTGACTAATGTCGGCACGCCAAACTCTGCATACACATCAAAGGTAGTGGCGGGTCACGGATCTAAGCTCGACGTCAAGATCATGCCTAGTGTTCTGTCTTTTAAGGCAGTGAACGAGAAGCAATCTTTTATGGTCACTGTTACAGGCAGCGATCTCGACCCTGAAGTCCCTTCGTCTGCAAATCTAATCTGGTCTGACGGTACCCATAACGTGAGGAGTCCCATTGTTATTTACACTAGTGATTACTGATGAGTCATCACTAATTCACCATCGTCATCATAAATAAATTTTTATTTTGTTGTAATGTTTCTTCATTCTATGTTTTGGTTATATTATTGCTCTTTGATGTCTCGGCTTACTATATGTATGTTGATGTCTTGAGATATGCTAATTGGATAATCGAGATGCTTTGTTTTTTTTTATATAATTTATATCTTGTTCAAATATGCAAAGGTTTCTGCCAGAAATCTGAAAATTTAGGGGATTTTGATTGTCTCATTTACAAAACAGTGAAATATTGATAAAAAAAATTCTATCTTACTCTAATCCAGTCCAACTTTGTCCTCCATTGTTGATAACACCATCCTCTACATCACGAAAATATGTTACAATTATAGGCTCTGATAAATGGAACTAAGAATCTGGGGTTCTTTAGAGAGAGGTTTATGAACAAGAATTATTTTTACTTTTCTCTACAGTTTTTTTTTTCCTTTTGAAAAAAATAGTTAGATTTTCTCTAAAGTTACTGCCAAATATCAATAAAGGGGGAAAATCTGTATGAGGTCCAAGTAAATATGTAAATATGTTTTCCAAGAAAGGAAAAAAAAAAGAAGAAGTAAATATGTATCCTAAACTTGTACAAATAGTCAAATACTAGCTTTTAATATAATTAAATGACATTTCTATACTATGTATATATATATATCCTTCATGTTGATCTCCATAGAAATTAGAGAATTAACTTTACATAGTTTTATACAAAAATGGGTAAACGAGCAATTTCCTCTTGCCTCTTCTCATGTCTCTTTGCATTGTTCTTGAATTCAATCTTAGGAGTCACAAATGATCCTCAAGACCAACAGGTATTTTATTATATTTAATTTGTTGTTTATATATTGTGTTAATCCATTCCATCATTCATGATGGTGTTAATCCATTCCATCATTCATGATGGTGTTAATCCATGAAGGTGTATGTGGTCTACATGGGATCACTTCCGTCTAGTGAAGACTACACACCAATGTCTGTCCACATGAATATTCTTCAAGAGGTAACTGGAGAGATCGAGAGGTATGATTTAATTTAAATTTAATTTATCTTCTAATCATATCATAATTGACGTCAAAATTGTTATAAAGATTCTAAAAAGTACAATACACTGCCTCGATTGTTACATATTGTAGTTCCATCGAGAATCGCTTGGTGAGAAGTTACAAGAGGAGTTTCAACGGGTTCGCAGCTCGACTCACTGAATCAGAACGAGAAAAAGTAGCCAGTGAGTGTTCTTCGACCTGTAACAATATAATGAAATGATTTTTTACTTATTATAAAAACAATTGTGCTTCTTGATCCCATTGATACATAGAAATGGAGGGAGTTGTGTCTGTGTTCCCGAACATGAACTTAAAACTCCAAACGACGACATCTTGGGACTTCATGGGTTTAATGGAAGGAAAGAGGACGAAG